TTTTTAATTAATTTTTATTATATTTTTAAAATTATTAATAATTTATATAATTACCGAGCCGCGCGGGGGGTTACGGGTGCGAGGCACGTGCGAAGCACGTGCCGAGCGCCCGTGACCCTTTACGCGGCGAGGTTAAGCGGCCATTGCGGCCTTACGGGATTTAACCAATTAAATTAATTGCTTGGCTTAGCTTATAAAATAAGACCTTATTAGTAAACTTAAGGATTGTGCCGCCCCTCGGGGAGGCCTCCAATTAAATTTTAAATATTTTAATAATAATATAATATTTAATATATATCGTGTAAACATGTAATTTAAACCATTATTTTCGCATTAATTAAATTTATAAAATGGTATTAATTATAATGTTATAATTATTAAAATCGTAAAGTTATTTAAATGTATATATATGTAAATATAATAATTATATAATTAAAATTAAATTAAATTAATAATTAAATCTTTTAAATTTAATTAATTAATTTTAAATTTAACGATAAAAGTAACCCGTTAAAGTTTTACTTTTTCCTTTTTTTTCTTTTAACTTTAAATACATGCGTTTATATAAATTTAATACTTATATACATTTAAATAACTTTATAAAAATAACAATTTAATTATTATAATTAATATTATTTAATAATTTTAATTAATGCGAAATTAATAGTTTAATTTACATGTTTATATAACGTATATTAAATATTATATTATTATTTAAAGTTTAATTAAAAAAACATTATAAAAGTGTTTATAAAAAGTATTACGTGTTTTTTTTTTTAAATAATCGTTATTTAATTTTATTATAATATAATAACGAAAAAGCCGATTTAAATGTAATTTAAATTATTATTTTCGTATAAATTAAAATTATTAAATAATATTAATTATAACGTCGTAATTATTAAAATTATAAAGTTATTTAAATGTATAAATGTAATAATAAAAAGTTAAATTAAATTAAATTAAATTAAATCTTTTAATTTAATTGGTTAATCCTTTAAATTATATTAATTAAATCAATATATTTATCGTAATAAGGCTTAAAAGTACACATTTAATATTTTCTAAATTAAGGCAAGTGACCTTTTACCAACTTTAATCTAATGCGCGATTATTTTTTTCATTTTGGCACAGTGGTACGTCTGGTCAACCGTAACATGAATATAACTATGACATCACTAACCATCATCTTTGCCAATCCCCTCTTATAGCTCTCGTTTGCCCAAGTTATTATATATCTTCTACAACTTTTCTATTCATACTTCACTCCTAAAATCTACAATCTTCTATATTTGCAACACTACTTAAAACTATCCCAAAGCAAAAACCATTCAATCCGAACACAAACAAGCCACCCGCGCAAGCATCAAACCAGCCATTGTCATCATGTCGTTCCTCGAAGTAACAGCTCGCCGTCTGGCCACCACCTCTAGAATTGCCGTGGTACCCGCCACGCGACACTTTAGCACAAGCATCGCAGCACAAAAATCAGTCACAGAAGCTGCCAAGGACACATTAAAAACCGTAGACCGTAAGGTCTCGGACAAACTGGTTGACGGTATCAATGTGGGAGGTGAGCATCCTACTCTACCAATCAACATTATCAACGCAGTGATAGACTTGCTAACTAGCGATTCTTAAACAGCCAACCTCGCATCGAAAGTAAAAGGCGAAGCAGACACAGGCAAGGTAAAAGGCACAGCGGAAGAGATCCGCCGCCAATCAAAGGGCGCAGCCGAAGAGTTGAAAGACAAGGCGAAGGATACAGCTAAAGAGGCTCAGGATAAGTAAGGTGAAGGGAAGCGTGTAAGAATCTAAATGGATTGGGGGAAACCCTTGATGCTGTACTTGCACACTGCCTGGTGTATGTCTGTATGATAATGAGACCATCTGAATTCATTCGTCTTGAATAGTACGAAATGCTATTGTCAAGCGCAGCTTAATTCAATTTAGCAATACTTTACATTCAGCAGCAAAAACAAGCTATTAAGATTACACCATTCAACAAAACAAGCATTCCTACAGTGCCAGATTAGAGCTTGCATTAACGAAGCTTTAAGATTGACCCCGCCATCACCAGGAACACTCTGGAGATACTCGGCGCCGGAAGAAGAGAGCAACAGGTCTTTAATAGTTAATGTATTATTCGTATTCACTTCTTGCGAAGTATTCTTGATGCAGTTTTAGAAGTGTAAGCCTTCGAGTCATTTGAATATGTATTATCAACCTTTATCTAGCAGAAATACTTCCCCAATCCTTTCAAATACGAGCCAGTATGCTGGTTAACCCCCATAGATTCGGATGAAGGGATAGCAGCAAGGAAAGCAATAAGTGACGCTTTCGCCGCCTTTTCTATCGGCTCCCGTGAATACTCTGGGAAGTCCATGGCGTACTTGAAGTTAAGCCTGGCCCTTGCTAAGACTTTTTGGTCTTATGACTTTGAAGCCGCTCCTGTTAAATTTGGTCAGGTCGGAGTGGGCCAACAAGGTGAATTTCGTTTATATGATATTTTCACCTTAGCTCACGATGGTCCATACTTGGTTTTAAAACCCCGTGATACGTTCACGGGGGGCTTCGGAAATATCGAACTTTCGAGTAAATAGCTTCAATGATATTTATGTGAATTAAGTAGTTTTGGAGCCGTTCTTATGATTCGATTGATTAGTAAAGATCCGTAGTGAATATGGTTATGAGCTAGTCGCCTGCTACGATGTGTAACTGTAACTAAGTCATGAATATATTCGGCTAGATACTCGTACATCCCTACAGGAATCTGGAAGTGGTTGGCTTAAAAGGCTAGCATCATTAAGAATCTCCAGAACTAGAGAAGGACTAGATGCTACAATGTATGTATTTTACTCGGGACTTGTTGGGCTATTGAAGCCGCCATTTCACTATTGAATCACCTATTCCATTGAATCACCACCTACGCATGAATCATCGTGACATGTAAGTCCATATAGACTCTATGTGAATTGGACCTACCCAACACTTATATAAAGCGTTTTCTTGCTTTCCTTTCCCTGTTAAACTCTACCAACATTTCTTTACCAACCCCATTCCCACCTACCGATTTCCAAACCACTGCCTACAGCAAACCCACCTGATACCAAGATGCCGACCAAATATGAAAAGGCCGTAGAATTCTGGGCGGATAGAGGTTCCCTACTCCAACGCTCCTTTTGCAACGTCGGATTCGTCAAAGGAGCCAAGTTCTTTACTTCCGAAGGCCAGATACCATACCTCTGTGTTGTGGTTCGTTCCTCATGTGACTCCGACAGCATCGGGAGGATTGTTGAAGATATAAAGAATGTAGTAAAAACGTGCGACGTCTGCGATGGCCCCTACGACAGGTTGAGCGACCTGTTTGACTTAGCCATCGTACAGGAGAAGACTGATTTGCCCTACAAATACGCTAAATTGAAGTGGCCTGCGGGACTTGTCCCGCCAACCAGTGACTATGGGGGGGTTCCATCCTTCACGTAAGGATAACTGGAGGGAGAGCAGGCCCTGAGGGGTAGAGGAGGCAGATATTAGTATTGAGCAGTATGGCAAAGGGCGCCCAATATTGGCCGAAGGCTCCGGCGTCTGTCGGGTCATTAATTAGAAATTATGAAGACATAGTTTCTTTCACAATATACATCACCCTCTGCACCATCATTACGTCTGGTATTTTACTCTTATAGATCCATTGAAATGCTTGTAACCCTGGATAGCCCATCCCTCGTTTTGACTTGTCGTCTGTCCCCCTTTTTATCATCATTCCTCTCCTAATCTGCTACTACCCATTCAGTATTGCATGCATATGTCGCGGGAGAGCGACGCATAAAGGCCACAATACTAGTCAAGTAACTGCTATATAGTTCATATTACTTCCCAGCCGTCTTCACCTGTTCTCCCTTCTTCGCGTTGGCAAGGATCGCGTCCGTCACGGGCTTCAGAGCCCGGTGCGGTAACTCGTGCCCGCAATCGTCAATAATCACCAACGTTGCTCCCTCCACGCCATCCCTCAGAGCCTTTGCGTGTTCCACCGAGAACAGCTGATCCTTAGCCCCGTGGATAACGACGGTCGGGCATTTAACAAGCTTAAGCGCCTCCCTAGGCCATCTCACGCCCGCCGCATCTGAGTGATTCGTCTTACTCCACATCGTCCCGGTCTCCCGCTCACGATAGTACGTAATCTCGGACATGCGTCTCGCATCAGCCCTCTCTTCTTCGGTAGGCGGTTTCGTTGCCATGGCGAGAGACATCGTCGCATATGTTTTGATCCAGCCCTCGTGATCATCCCTATCCGTGGGTGGGTCGAACGCATCGGTGAGTGTGTAGTGTCCCTCCATTTGCAGCGACGGCAAGTTGTCCGTCTCATTCTGTATTCGCCCTACCGGGCTCGTGAATATGAGAGCCAGACTCTCAACGATTTCGGGTAGCCGGCCAGCTGTTAGCCAGGAAATTGGTCCGCCCATGCTAGTGCCTATTACATGCACACGCTTAAGCTTTAGATGGTTTATAAGGCCTACAATATCGTCTACCATATCATCGAACGTGTAGGCACGTTCTCCGTAAGGTGGCTCGGGGAAAGACGTCGAACGGCCAGTATCCCGGTAATCGAATTGGACGATGAAGTGAGGATGGTCCGGTGGATTAAGCAATCGGACAAACGCATCAGGCGTTTGTGTCATAGACATTCCATATCCCGAATTGATGATCATGGCCGGGTCTGACGGGTTGCCGAGTGTCCGATAACAGATCTTACAGCCCTTCGGCAAGGAAACAAAGAGCTCCTCGGACATCTCCATCATATTAGATAACAACGGCGCGAATCCAATATTTTAGGCGTAGGTATTATTACAAGTCTTCAGTCACCATATAAGAAATTGTCGTAGATTTCGGCGAGATACACATGAGCCGCACCAAATTGAGTAAACAACATGTAATGTTTCTCGCCGCAGCGACAAATGAGACGACCCCCGCAGCCAGGCAGCAATCCTTCCAGCAAGCGACCCGTTAAGGATCTCCAATAAAAGTTGACACACCGCGAGTAGTGGGGCTTTCAGGGTCAGTTAACACCACTCAGTCAGTTCAGCCGTAGATGACATGAAACCTATACCTCTTCCCTCTTAAATAGACTTCTAAGATTGCTCCTAAGAACGTCGTTGTACTACGAGCCATACCAAATAACCCTGAATTAAGCCACCAGTAACTCAAGAACCATATATATAATGTAAAACACTGATGTAAAACTAAGGAAACCTCTAATTGGCACGAGTTATATTAACTCCTACACTCAATATCTCCTATATATCTAGGTAAGCAAGAGTTTAAGGTCAAACATGTGAAACTCAGTTTCGTTGGTATTATTTCTTTCAGATCAAGTCGCACGGATAAAATCATTGGACAATTTCTTATAGTTAATGAATCTAACAAAGAACTTGTTTAGTGTTGTCCAAGAAATTGGCTTTAGTAAATTTTCTATAAAGCCCGGACGTACATATCAAAAGCCAATGACGGTGCCAACCTTACAAAGACGCAAACACGCAAATACATTGTACACATGTATATATAAGTTAACCCTTTAGTTATAAATACGAGTCTGGTGCATTGCCACATTTGCCTGTCGAGCTAGCGTTTGATAAGCTTACAACTGTGAACAATATTCCTCGAACGTGGAAAGTGAATCTTAGGTATTCAGGTACAGTTTCAATCCATCACAGGACTATACGATTGTTAGATAACTGGTACATATTATACTTCCAGAAACTCACTTGATAATCGAAGATACCACTACACAGGTGCCAGCTCAGATAACATTAATACACTACTCTAGCCAATAGTCAGTCATAGCACATTGATTATCCTACTAACATCAAATACAGCGTTTCGTCTTACAAAAGTACGACCAACAATTTATTATAAAATAACACTATCCAGATAACTTTCCCTCCTAGGCACACTTTAGCCAGTATCGAAGCTCTCCGTTAATACAGGATTAGACATCCACATACAACAACAACAACAACAACAACAACAACAACAACAACAACAACAACAACAACAACAACAACAACAACAACAACAACAACAAAAATCAACGTACGAATTATCCCGCTATGGCGCTAGAACTAGAGTTTCTCGACGGCGATGTTGTCGAAGCCTACTTCAGGACAAACAGGAACAAGGTCAAGGAATACCTAGGGAGCAAAGTCCAACACATTGACGACATCGGATATTTCCCCGGGAAAGTCGGTCCTGTTTCGGTATTGTATCTTGTAATCATTCTTGCCGAGGAGTATCCCGGAGACCCCGAGGACCAGGCCGTAACCCAGAGTGTCAGCGGCAATATTTCCACGGCCTTGGAAACTTGTTACCCCTTCCCAGGAATACACCCTAACCATACACTTTCCACAATGATCGAAAGCTTTGTGGTAGTAAAGAGAAACGCCACCGGATATACGAAGATTTGGTGGCCAACATGGATCCATGCACCCCAGGGCCAGTATGGATGTTAGGACCGTACGCATAGGCATTAGGCCGAAGACACAGATGGCTAATCCAGTAGTTCCACGTGGTACTTGTGGTCTCTAATGACCGTATTAGGATTTTTGCTTATCGAGGACCTATCTCTTTCGTCTTAATACGTCAATCATACACTGCTAGATAGTCTATGGGCATCTCTTAGCGCTAATAATTAATATTTTACCCAACCCAGCTTTTACCATAGTTTCATTTAATTTACAACTAGTTAAACGTATTGATATGAACATGTATGTGTGTGTGTTATTATTAAAACATAAAAAGGAAACTAACCTTATGTAGAAAAAGAAAAAGAAAGACGTCGGGAACGTGTAGTGACCAACGTAGCTTATCCCTTAGTTTTGGAAGTTGGAAATCTGGGGATACTGGACTGTATAACCACCTAACCTAGTTCCAATGCAGGTACCCAGACTAAGATCACATATTGTGCATTCGCTGCAGTCGTTTCTACAAAGTTATTTATCCATAATAGGTTAGACAGCGTGACCTATCGTATACTTCCCCTCTCGTAACCTAGTCTAGGTAGCATATAGGGTATGCATATCGTCTCAAGAAGCCAAGAACTACCACGTGTGGAATTAACACTAGTGTCCTTCTTCAGTTTATGACTATCGCGTTATGTACCCCTATCCGGAAATCCCGACTGCTGAAATGAGTAGCCAGGGGCTTGCTTCTAGATATGGCACATAACATCTTGGCAAAGAATACGTATATTCGAGATCCCTCCTCTCTCATGCAATTGACGTATCGAGTTAACATACCGTATATAAAAATGTATATCGTCGTTCAGCTGGAACCATAGCTCAGATAGCGTAAAAGCCCGGGACCTACATCCATTAAAGGGGAAGAGTGAGTGAGATATCGTATCCCTACACTATATCGGGACCGCCCGAGGGCAAATTCTGGTGTAGTCTGGTGGGGAAAGAGATGCCATCTATTATTGGATGGCACGACGATAACAACTGCGTCAGTAACTCTCAGCCGGTACGGCAGACACAGTCGAGCCTAACCTCGTATATTCAGTGACGCTGCTCACCTAGATAGGTACCTAGTCAATCCGATGCTCTCGGTAATCCTCGATTTGATACGGGCAGTAGGCAAAGGTAGCCACGTCTTTGGATGGTATTAAAGTAACTCAACGTGGACATCTTCTATTTATTTATAAGATCGATTCGAGAAGGATATGGGGTCGTGAAGCTTTACTCGGTTGGGCGTACATCTTCTACGCTGAAAGGCCTTTTACACTTACTCACGTACCTTAATCTGGACTGTTGTGTACGGGGATAGGAATGACGGGAGTTTTACTAACGACGTATTCCAAACAGTTACTCATGAAGAGGCTCGTTATCTTCTTTAACTAATCCCAGAAGCCGATTCTTCTTGATTATCCTTAATAAGTAAGAACCTACCCGGTTAAACGATAGTTCTAGGCCTCGATAAGATGTTACCTACGAAGTATCTTTGCCTAACCCGTGAATATCATTGCGCCTAAATAGAATCCAGTTCGCTTCCAAAGAAGAAATCTAGATCGCTGCATACCACCGCCCAGATACACGTGTTTAATATATGGTATATGACCATATCGTTATGGCTAGAGCGACGGGAGCCATGGATCTACGATAAGTCGGTAGTGTTAGAATGGAATAATAATGTAGAGTATGCCGTACGTGTGAGCGGGAGCGGTGAGTTAGGAACGTAAACCTCAAACCCCCCATATTGTAAACGATGTGGTCAAGGACCTACCTACCCCAGGCAATTATACGAACTAGAAGTGTCAGAACAAGTCGGGACCCAATGAGAATTAAGAGTCTTTGCGGGTGAGACCATACTCCGTGGTGCATACCGTGTTACGGTTGTCATAACCTGCATACTCGGGTATACATTCGTAAGTCGAAACGAGGTCGTCGTAACCGTTAACCAGGCTCAATCGCATCATTGAAACTATTCGGGACAGAATGCTGACATGCTGACCCTATTCGCGTTCTGGCGTGGGTGAGACCCCAGGTTTTGTCAGGAGAAACGCGGCCTGGGGGTGCTCACCCTATTAATGAGAGCTGCCGCGTCATCGGAAGTGCTCGATGCTACGTTTTTCTAACCGGGATAAAATTAGACGCCATACACGAGGAGAGCTGACAATCGGATTTAGCGGTCAATTCTTCTAAATCCAAGTAGCCGGGCCTGGTTAGGTAGGCTATGCGGCTCTGTACAGGATTTATAAAAATGGAAATTAATTAGGAAAATCTTAGTTGATTAATAATGAGTAGGTTAAATCCAATTCCGTTGTTTAAAAGACGTTTCAAGAGAAATTGACGCTCGGGTCGCATCTGGGGTTGATATTCAAGTTCACATACGGAATAGAAACACTCCTAGTCACGTAGATCGTAGATAATGTATGATCCCAAGATCGGGCACCGCGATGAAAGGGAGTCGAAAACATATCCCCTCACTGGACACGGCGTCTCTAAGCGAATATCTAGAATCCATAAAATTAGAACATGTGATGAGCCGCAAGCGCCTGCAAGCCGATACCGTCTTAGCCGAATCCTGCAGGCTGTAATTGCTGCAAATAGTCTTTTTCTCATTTCTTGGCCTTGGCGGCACGTCTTATTTGATATGAATACGCGATATCGAGAAATAATCGGTGTTATTCAGCTACGCCTGCTCGTAAATCGCCACTTTCATTTCTCATGACCATACACTATCTACTGGATACTACCTACTATTGCCGCAGTGCTGATCGAAGTCCACATCGATTATTCTTTCATGTGCCGAAGCCGAATCGAATACTACCTAAACGTCTGATACGGGATTTTCGGAGCAGCTCAAGTTCCCGGGTCAGGAGAATCCGGGCCTCGGCGTCTCAGTTCGAACTTGGCTACACGTTAAATCAAAAATTTTCTAATCCGGCGGGGTGAATAGTTATATTTGATACAGTTGTTAACCGAGAAGCATGTAAGAACTAAGATATTTAGTGTAGATCTCAAAATAGGGGCTTTATTAATATACTGCATACTACTTACATCGTAGAACGTTCAGGGGAGATTGAAGCCGCGTCAGCATTCAAACCGGCGTATTAGGCTAGCAATTAAACAATTCCATTTGGGGAATGTTATGCGCCGCAATCAGCAACCGTCTTTCGCACCAATCTTGAGAGAAAGGTCTCGCCCTTTGTCTAAATCATTTTCTTTAATGGCTCGTTGCTTGGTGCTTTTGCGGAGTCGCCGCACGTGGATATTAGCGATTACCTTAATGATGATAATTCGCTTGAATTTTGGTTGGCGCCCGCATTGTTATGTCGCCGCATTGACTGATTGACAAACGATGCCAAGACCACTAGCAGGGTCGGTGAAGGTTTATGTTTCCGTCATTAGTTGAAGCAAGGAAGCAGGATTTCGGTTAGCA